GGAGGGGAAGTGACCCGAATAAGTATTACAACTGTGACGAGGTAGGCGAGAAATGGGAGGGTCTAATGAAAATCTAGTAATTTGTCGCAAAGGTAGACTAATTTGAAGATTGTTTATGGATGCCATAAGCAAATCGATTCGAATTGTCTGACTTGATTATGTGTCGGCAAACAGGAATAATTGGTTAGGTGTGAATGCTGTTTATTTTGATCATTATTTTGACGAAATTAATCATTTTTTCGTTGCGGATTTGATTTTGTTTAAGGTCAGGAAAATTAAATTTAAAATTGATTTAATGGCAATGCAAAAAATTAATTATGGAAGTAACAATAAGTAATCAAATGAAACAAAACATGAACATCACAATGAACTCCGTTACAATAATTATTAATCATTTAAACACATAGTTGAAGCAAATTTTGAGGTCATAGTAAACAAATCAGTACAATTTTTATCTTTACGGTAGAACTTCAAATTGTTACTAATTAAGTTTTAACTATGACTAATATGTTTATAATCTAACAATGCCTCCTTCGCCACTTATGATTAATTAACAAGATTTTTAATGAGAAAATGTTTTTTCTTGCTGTTGCATTATTCAAAAATATTATTAAAATCAAATTTTTTTCCTATTAAAACTTTCCAAAACTAACTGTAACTAAACATAAAGATACCATAAAGATTAAGTACTTAATTTACTTCATACGTTTTAGTTTGTTCTCATATAAATTAAAATTGAAATCTAATAATTTAATTCGTAATTACTAAACGATAAGAAACAAAATTAAACAATTTTTGTGTTGCCCAAACGACAGTATGTGATTTTTATGATATTTATGAACGAAATCTCTTCAATTGGTGCCCTGATTGTTTATGATATTTATTATGATAAGTATCGCAAACAGTAACATGGAAAATGCATCATTTTTTCCAAAGCACTCTTCGCTTTTTCTTAATTTTGATCAGCATGTAAAATTTAATCAAATCGTGTGATACATCGTTGTAATCAGGAACAAAAAGACTTTTCAAAACTACAGAAATCAAATATGGCGTCCTTAAGAAAATCCAAAGTTGAGTGACGTAACTCTGATATCAAGAGCGCCTTGGAAAATAGGATGACAGATTTAGATTCTTTGTAAGAAGGTGCTTTAAGAATGCCTTAGTTAAAAACGTTTAGATCTTTTAGTTTTCGCTTGAAAAAATAAAAACGAAAATTACAAATTTCCGTTTTTTTACAATAATTTAAAAACTAAATGACACATTCAATTTTCTTTCAGATTATTGTTCAACATAAAATGCGCAACTTAACCGACCTCGTATCTATTATAACTGAGACCCCCATGGTGGAGCTCGAAAAACAAACACCCTGTATATTATAATTATGTATAATGAGTATTTGTAAAAACAAATATAAAAAAATTGATGTCATGATCAAGTGAGGGCTTGATAATGATCACTAATATAAAATTATCCAACATTACCCAAAAATACTATTTTCACCTGTTTATTTCTGCAAATTTTAACGTTTCTATAAGATTTGAAAAGTCTAATCTATCGCCGGAAAACTATACCACATTTCGGAAAAAATAATAAGTTAACAAAATTATTTTAAAATAATAGACATAAACGAATCAGAATCTCCTTATTTCTGACAAGATAATTATAAATATTAGGCGGCCATATTTCCAACTAATAATCTATATCATATCCATTATTCAGAGGTAAGTTTTTCCAATCAAGGTCGTTTTGCGATGCTTCTGCTACCGAAATGAATTATTCATTCGTACCTCACGTCTGCAGGCAACCCCCAACTTTAGATAATAACAACATTGGTAATAACACGTTTAACTTTCCAAATTTGCTAAACAGACGAGATGTATGTATGTCATTATCGGAAATCACTTAAATACCACTATTTTGTTAATCATGCAAGAAAAGAAAATATGTTGTTTGTTGAATAGTTCCCAAGTATGAAATTTTCTTTTTCTTTTAAGTTAAGTTTAATTGTTTTTCTAAAATTGTTTCGAATTCGATTTATTGCTATTGGATGGGTCACGCCATAGCTTCTTTTAGAGCTCAAGTCGCCCGTTACGATTTCATTAAGAGTGTGGAGCGATGTCAAGGATTTAACAAGGATAAGATAGCGGGCCATGAAAGAGGAACTAATGAAATTGACAACATTTTATTTGAACTAATTTCTTTGATATTGGTCCTTATTTATATTAAATTCATCGAAATTTAATTGCTTTCGGATTTTCTTGTAATTTCAAGAAATAGAATTAATGAGAGATTCGGAAGTTCCCCAAACCACAACCTTCATGTTTCCATAATTTCTTAAAAAAAACTTTCATAAAAGTCCGATGTTTTCCACGTCCATAAATATTAACTCTGTATACAGGGTGTCAGAACTTGCGCCACATGAAAAATATGATAAAAAATTTTGACATTTATTTTTTGACATTTGACATTTTTTATGTCTATTTAATGATACTAATGATCTTGAATAGGTTTTTTTATAATTATTTAGTAAAAGTAGAAAAATTTTGATACTAAAAGCCACAAATAACATTAAACAGAGTTTCAATTTAGGATACAACTTCCTTGTTTCCTCTTCTAATAGCTTGTAGCAAAAAAACTTGAAAATTATTTTTCCAAAGAGAGTTAAAGTGCAAAATTTAAACTCTCATAACTTTCATAACGAAATTTTGATAGAGTTTTTTTAACATTTTTTCCATGTTCCTGGTGTATTATATTTCTCTGAGGCGCAAGTTCTGGCGCATCCTGCATTTATAACCATTAATAAAGTTTATTATTTTCTTAAAGTATTTTACATTTCATCAAGTTGTAGCAAATCAAAAGTGCTAAATGTGATAAATAGCTACGTCAAAAGTATAAACAAATGAATAAACACAAATGTTAAAATTAATTATCCACAATTTTATTAAAAAATATTGGTATCAAGTGGTACCAAGTATTAAAAATAATAAAATATCTACACAAGTACTATTTCAATCAAAAAAAAAAAAACAGAAAAAACCTTATTTGAAAATATACAAATTTTTCTTCTCACACAATGACCCGAGTAACACGTTTTCGGTTAATATTTCAGTTACTGACATAAGAAATTGCTCCAAATTTAAAACAACCAACTAAACAAACTTGTAAAAATGTCTTCCTTTGCACTCAATCCACTGAATCACCTGAAATAATTTTCAAGTAGATAGAGATACAAAGAGTTACAAAAACATTTTTTTTTTAATAAAACGACACATTTTATTACAGCCCTTTAATTTTTTTTCAAGTATTCTAATTAGTTATTGTGTAACAGATCTTTAAAATCATCGTTTCTTTCACAAAAATTGTTAAATTACAAGTAGAATCCACTACTCGTCCCCATAATAATATTTCCAATCAATAAAATATGTGCCATCTTCCACACATTCATTTAAATATAGCTCGCATGACAAGAAACGATAGGAATCAATTCCCAATAAATTACTCTCAAATACCTTCGATGAAATTATCACCATTTAAATAAATATACAACGAGAAGTAATTAAGCGTCTTGGTACTTCCCCGAAAATTACTACCTAATCTTACGATTGATTTATCGATTCAATTCGACGAATTTGGACATAATAATTAATAAAAAAAATTCAATTTAGTTAAATCACTAGAGAATGAAACATTTGTCACAAACGGTTCATAACAAACCTTGACATGGCCATGAAGCAATTTCGCAATCACTTGGGAAATACTTTCATCTCGACATTGAAATAAAACTGAATCGTCTACCAGACTTTTAAATTAGAAAAAAAAATTATTTGCGTCTGTAATTTTCTAGAATCTACTTATTTTTTTTTATAAATATACTAGTTCGAGGAAGTACACCGTTTTTTTCTATTGTCTAATGTGTCTATTACTAGTAATGATTTCAAGTTAAAACTTAAAATACAAGGACATTTTATGCTAATTAATTCCAGACCTCGTTTGATTTTCAAATATATCAAGTGGAATCAAATTATGTCAATTGAAAGTATTAAAGTTTTTACCGGACTTTAATTTATTTAGATCTGAACCATTCTTTTAATATGTAATTATGTATTTATAATATAAATACAGTCGGTACAAAAATAATACTTTTGACAAACGCAATATAAATTATGTCACAAAGAGGATAAACAATTTAAATTAAATCCATAAATTAAGATTTAATTATCTATCTTCATAAAATATGCGAAATTATTGATTCACTATATTTTTTGTCATTGTGTGCAATTAATTAAATTACAATAGAATTGTTATTATTTGATTAAAGTCACATGTTTTTATTCGTTAATACACTGGACACGGAATTTTGGACATCAAATTTATGACGTTCAAAAAATGTCAATGTAAGCCACGCTTTATTGTCATTATGATTGACGTTTGAAACTAAAATTTGAAAGTTTTAGTTGAAATTTATTTTTGCCGTCGATTTTCCAAAACAATAATGCCAGCAATCCGTGTTTTATAAGTTATTTTGATTTGTTGTCATTTTTTTTCTCGCTCTCAGGATAAAAATTACAAAAACCGAAAGTGAGATTAGTTGCCTAAGGCCCGTTTTACATTTTTATATCAGTCGAATGACAAATCGTCCAGAATTCCGTTTCCGCCAGTGTATCATAAATGAAACCTAAAAATTAAAATAAACATTTGTTTTTCAAACTAGCAGTATTACAAACGGCTAAATAAAAAAAACCTAATTTTTTCAAACATCTCTCACAGCCCACTATCTGCAATACGTTGTTGTGTAAATAACAACAGGTAAACACCGATATTGACACAGTAACGAAGTTCCCAATTATAATAAAACCCACCGCAAATCGATTTAATTTTTTGTTTACACTGAAAATCACTGTCGAAATTCCGAATGCGCGCCCTAACCTATCCGACTTTTTGATGTATTATTACCCCCTAGAAACAAAACAACATCGCCAGGAAAAGCCCAGCCAACTTACCTGATTTTGCGTAAAACCGTCCCACTTTCGAGTGCTTACGACGACATTTTCTTGACGAATTCATAAATCACGTCCATATTGTTCCAATTTGTTTTTAATCCAACACTTCTGCACGATTCACTGTTCGCTACCTGTCTGATTTTGACATTTGCACCTGAGATTACAACGCACGGTGTGAAAATCCCTAATGCGCACGTGGACGAGAGTCTACCAACTTAAACGTTTCGAGGTGAAGGATGAAATTTGTAATTTTGTGTCGTGTCATTTTATGGATTATTTTCGTGATTCGGCGGGTTCGTGAAGCGAATTGGCACGCTAGGACGTGCTTATCTCATTATTTTTACGTCAGGGTTTTTAATGCCCAATTAGGGGAATTAGCAGGAGCTCTGGGTCTTACAATATTAAAATTTGTTATCAGTTCTGTCGCTATTGTGGGGCAATGTAAATTTGTGTAAAACAAAATTTTATATTCTGTAAAGTGATCTTTTACAAATTTGAGGTTGGCACTTGGTGTTTGTAAATCAAAAATTTAATGAAAATGTACCAACCTAAATATTTCCTACACACAAAACTTTGTATTCTAGCCCTCATCTGTCCGCATATTTCTCTTTGAATACCTATTAACGTTATTTGATTCAAATTGAAAAATGTTTGTCTGTCCTACGCGAAGGCGCACAAGTGCTAAAAGAAAACTATATAAAAATTCCCATTTTTCTTGACAAATTAGTTCTATAATTATTTTTCTTGTTTCTAGTTTGAGAACAACTTTAAAATATATATTTTTGTAATATATTTCGATTAATAGTATACTTTAGATTAAATTTTTAAATGAATTTTTAGGATTTATGGTTGGCACCATGGTTGTTCTGTGGCTGGCACCATTGATTTCGCGACCCCAACCAAACGTCAAAGCGAAATTTTTCAAAATTGTTTTCTGGCCAAGAGTGTTCAACTTAGTTTAAACATCTTGCAAAATGGTGTTAGAAAGTACGATGATTTGGTAAGTAAACTCTAATTTATAAAAAAATTTAAAAAAACGTCAAAATTGCCTACCTAACCTCAAATTCCAATGACTTGGCATTATTTGTTTATTTGTGCCCTAGTGTCGATAATAGTGACTACATGAGAAACGGGGACTTCCTCCCGACTCGCCTCCAGGCCCAACAAGACGCTGTTAATTTAGTTTGCCACTCGAAAACAAGATCAAATCCTGAAAATAACGTCGGATTATTAACCCTAGCCAAGTGAGCCCCTTTTTGCTTGAAAATTGTTTTTTAGCTAACTGTTTTTTAGCGTTGAAGTATTAGCGACTCTTACTAGTGACGTGGGGCGAATTTTATCGAAACTCCACCAAGTCCAACCCAATGGGGACATCAACCTACACACCGGAATACGCATTGCTCATGTAAGTATTAAAATAAGTGTATTGACAAAACTAATTTTTTTCCAGTTGGCACTGAAACACCGTCAAGGCAAGAACCACAAAATGCGAATTGTGGCTTTTGTTGGCAGCCCTGTCGCATCTGAAGAGAAAGAGTTAGTAAAATTGGCGAAAAAACTGAAGAAGGAGAAAGTGAACGTCGATATTGTCAGTTTTGGGGAAGACTTTACCAATAATGAAGTTTTGACCACTTTTATCAACACTTTAAATGGAAAAGTATTAATTTTGAATGTTATCAAATTTATATTACTCTTAGTGCTTGAAGGATGGCAGCAGCAGCCATTTAGTGACGGTCCCCCCCGGTCCCCACCTTTCGGACGCTCTTATTTCTTCGCCGATAATCCAGGGCGAGGATGGTACCGGCGGTGCCGGTTTGGGGGCTTCCGGTTTTGAATTCGGCGTCGACCCCAACGAAGACCCCGAGTTGGCCCTCGCCCTCCGCGTGTCCATGGAGGAACAACGGCAAAGACAAGAGGACGAGGCGCGACGCGCGAAAGAAGCCTCGTCTACTGAGACAGGGACCAAGGCTTCGCCCATTAAGGAGGAACCGAGTGAAGAAGCAATGCTCGAAAGGGCATTAGCGATGTCCATGGAGGAGGATGGGGAGAGTGCCCCCGCGGGGGTCCCCACTGTCGATTTTGCTAATATGACGGAGGATGAACAAATCGCGTTTGCTATGCAGATGTCGATGCAGGATGCACGTAAGTTGGGGGTTGTGTGAGGAGGGGGAGGTTTTATGGGGGTATTGCAGAGGAATCGAGTTCGGGGAAGAAGGAGGAGCCGATGGAGGTTGAAGGGGATGAGGACTATTCGGAAGTGATGAATGATCCGGCGTTTTTGCAAAGTGTTTTAGAGAATTTACCAGGGGTTGATCCGCAGTCGGAAGCTGTAAGGCAAGCGGTGGGGAACTTAAAGGATAAGAAGAAGGAAGACAAGGATGATAAACAAAAGAAATAAGTTAGGGATAATTGTTAATTTAGTTATTTTTTTACATAATTATACATTATATGCGGAACTGTATTGATTTGATTGGTAGTGTGAAGTATCATTTCAAATAAATGGATAAATATTAATCACCCAATTGTGTTTTTGTTAAAAAATTCCATTTTTTCCAAAGAAAAGTAAATAAAAGAAGTGACACTATTGGGTAAAGAATTTTCTTTGCAATGTTGGTATGAGAGTCAATCACCGGTAACTGTCAAATAAACATTACAAAAATTGCGCCAGTTTTTTTACTCCAAAGCAAGCATAAATGCAGTTTTTTATACCTTGTTCTAAAATAATGCTTTGGAGTTGGTTATCATCTTTCATATGGTTTCAAATTAGACTGATGTGTATTTTGGGTTGCCTATAACATATGTTTGCTTCGGAACAACGTAAAGATTTGTCAACAAGAAGTTACCACCTAGGATTTGAATTTTTAGGAAAATTACGTTTTTCATGTTGTTTGCAACTAGAATTTTTAGAAGTAATTTTGAAAGCCTAGCGTTGGTTGACGATTGACGTTTTCTGTCAACTTGCTGTCAACTATCAATTGAGTTATCTCTACAAGCTGACAGGTGATTTAAACTAAATTTTTGACACTAGTTACAAAATCTTTTGTTTGTCACCACAAATCAACCTAACCAAATTTAGGGCAACCTATGCACTAATATCCCTAAATCCTAGGGAGTAATTTCGTGTTGATACGGCAATAGGCTTTCGCAAATAGAGTCAGAAGGAGATGTTCCTGAAGATGCTTCTTACAAAAATGGGCGAACGACGAACTTTCCTTATAAACTGACGCGTATAACCTAAAATAACCAGATTTCATATGTAGCAATCAAGTAGTAACAAAAAATGTTTTTTTTTATTTTTCTACGGTTGGTATCAAATATTTTTTTTAGTAACAAGTAACAATTGAAACAACGTGAAAAAGACCAGATTTTCAAAATTATTTTTACGAATTTTCAAATTACTTAACACTGTATCTAGTCCGAGTGTTTATTTTGTTTTTTTTAATTACTTTAAACCTAAACGTGATTATTTTCTTGTACCATAATGATAAAATCAAGATTTTTTAATAAATAAATGAGGTAAGCGATCAAGTCTTGTGATAAACCATAATTTTATTGTGAACCATTGATAAATAAGTTAGATAACAACCAAGATTTCGTTAAATATCATACAATGACCTCACCTTAAAAAAACTAACGACTTGAACAATTTTCTTGTCAAAACTGAAGCGATTTCACTTTATTAACGCGGGATTATATTATATTTTCCATTCGTTAATAGCTTCTAAGTGCCATAGAGGCTGTTGATTTAAGAATTTACTTGAACAATTTTATTTTTTTTTTGCCAAACTTGACATGCGAGAACTTACAGAGTTTGAAATTTTATCATCTTTATTTCATCTTAATTCCATTAACAACAAAACAACGAAAATCCCTCAATTATTATTGTCATCCTCGTCGTCTGCCTCGTCGTAGGGGTCACACGAATCGAAAAGTCCCTTCCTGCGAATCCGGTGAAACTCCTTGTTGATGTCGTAGTTCTTGTAAAAGTCAGCATAGGCCTTCTTACGTCCATTTCCAAAAATAAACTTCATGTAAAGTCCAGCGATGGTGCAGGAAATTCCAGTCAGAATCAAATTGCGTTTGATCTGGGCCTGAAGCAAGCCCCGCATTTTCGGTTTGGGAATTTTAGCTGTTTCTTCCGACATTTTTCGACAATTTTATGGAAAATCAATTTGGAGAACCGATTGCGCACTACTTGTTCGAGAAATTTTTGGACAAGTCAAAAACAAATAAGGGTGACTGACATAAGAACAAGAATGACTTGATTGGTACTTTCTCACAAAAAAAAAGTTTGCGTTTCCTTGGTTACCGTTATTTAATAAATTAGAAAAAAATTGTTAGGCGCCACTGGCAATGATGTTTTGACAGATTTTGTTGTCCCAAGCTTGTCAAATTCCAGAAATAAAATTTTAGCTATAATACGCTTTACTTTTTTTATACTAGATACAAAAAATACCCGAGTAAAATATTATTTTAGTAAAAAAAAATTCTGCAATATCGTGGCTTTGAGCTGTATAATTTTTTTAAATATATTAAATAAGTGTAACCAAAGAAACGCAAACATTTTTTTGTGAGAAAGTGTCAATCAAGTCATTCTTGATTGGCACAATTTGTCAATTTAAAATCTTAATTTATTTAAAAAATTAAAATTTGTCAATTAATTCATTAAAATAATTAAAAAAAAACGAGTTTTTGGCAAATAACTCCGAATGTGTTAAGATTTGTGATAGGGTTGTAATTAGAAAAATGTTCGTTTTTTAATTCCGCTTCAAATGATATGAAAATAAATAGGGGTTCTAATTGAAAATTAAAAAAAAAACAAAAAGCTTTGAAGTTTGAAAAAAAGTTTGATAGTAAATTGTGCACAGACTGTAGTATCAAACAAATTTGATCAAATAGACTGTGAAACTTAATTTAATCAGTGCCTAGTATAAATTTTATCAAGAGAGCGCTATTTGTATTTTTTATTAAGAGTAATTTTTAAAAGTAAAGGTACAAGACCAATTTTTTTTGGTTTTCATTTTTTTACAGAAATGCCTGAACCGATTTAAAAATAAAATTGGGGATATGTAAATTACTAAAAAGACATCCTAGTGAGCACAAAAAATAATAATATGCCACTTAAAAAAATGTCTCATTATGACGGTACATTTTTTTGGAACATTCTGTATAATCAAAAATATTTTCCTGAAGTGCGCTCTAGAATATACACTGGCCGTCAAAATTAACCGGACAACTAAAATTTTGCAATTTTTCACTTTGCAATATTTTTGTTATTTTTTGTCGGATTTTGACAATTTTTTCTTCGGATTAAAGAACGAACTTTGCAGAACATTGTAATTTAATTCAATAAAATTTCTAGTTTTGTCTTGTAAATGTAAAACAGAGACAAAATTAAATTTTTACTTATATCAGATTTTGCCCGTTCTTTTCTGAATGAGGACATATTTGTTTCAAAATTTTACCTTCTGGTCCCCCAGAGATACAAAACATTGAAAAAGACGTTGTTTTTCTAATGTTATACTAAATATTCGTTCAGAAAGTAGGCTACATAAAAAGGTAGGTAGATCGAAAATTATTGCTTGTATCACCAAAAGAGCACAATTACGTCTTTGAACACAAAAAATCTGAAAAACATAGAACTTCAAAGGATTACAACAAGTAAAACGGTTAATTATTGGAAGCTTCCATGCGCCTATTTAGACGTTTTACTTAAAACGAACATTCATTTTTGAAGGTTTATATCTCTCATGCCCCAAGAATTAAAATTATGGAAAATCTGGTACATAATTCAGAAAAGAATGAGCAATAATCTGAAATCAGTAAAAACTTAGGTTTGTCTCTGTCGCACACCACAAAATCTGTATAAAAATATGTAAAAAAACAGTGCCTTTGTCGTTTGAGTATCACATTTAGAAGACAAAACTAGAAATGTAAATGAATTAAATTATAATAATCTAGAAAGTTTTTTCTTTAAGTCAAACAAAAATTTGTCGAAATCCGACAAATAATAACAAAAATTTTGCAATGTAAAAATTCGTAAAATTTTAGTTGTCCGGGGGGTTCAAAATTAATTTTTCATGTCTTAATTATAGGTACAGTGTTTCATTTTTACTGTTAGGTACAAATTTAAATATTTGATAGAATATTTAATTTTAAGACAAAAGTGTTTCGAAAAATGCTATGACAGGGAGCTATACCCCCTAAAAAAGGTACGTTTTTTAAAGGGTTTTTTCTAATATTTCAGAATAGATAAAATTACAAAATTTGGTACCTTACACTTATGTACACCTAAACAAATGCCAAATAACAAAATTTTTAATCAGGGGCCTCCTAAACAGTAAAACAAATTCAATTTTAAATTTTTATGCTGTTTATGGTCTGCAACATAAATTTTTACTAAAAATCCGTAAATTGTATCGGAAAAACACAAAAGACCTTTTTTTATGTAAAACTATGAAATTTTGTTGCTGAAAGTGACCACAGGCAAAATAGTTAGAGTAAATTTTTACCCTAATCCCATCTAGTTTAGGAAGCCCCTAATTAACTTTTTTTTTGTACTTGTTTAGGTGTATAAAAGTTATCATCTGTCGGTACCAAATTTTGAATTTTTTTTCTAAAATTATTTCGGAAATATTGAAAAAAAAACTATTATAAAAGACGCACCCCTTGCGTAGCATTTTCGATATATGTTCATAGAAAATTTTTGTTTTAAAAATGAATATTCTATCTCCTGTTTAAATTTGTAACAATAAAAAGTATTAAAAATTTATTTTATTTTTTGTTACTTTTGTAAGTTAATTTGTATTTTTTTTATGTTTAATTAGGATCTCTTATTTCAATCTATTTATACATGGTGATTCTTAAATAGACCGACAAAATTTTATCACAGCTTCCCTAGTATAAATGGAGACAAACTGTACCCTTTTTACGTTTATATTTTGTAGGGGCAAAACCCCCTTGATCCGTGCCACTTACGGCGTTTATGAATTATTGCAATGATCAAGTACATTTTGATCAAATTAATACCATGGTTTCCACTACCTGTGCTAATACTATTTACGAACACAACAGTGGCGTACGCTTTACCTTGAAAATAACTTTAATAAATTTTATTTGGAGAACGGTTACACAAAGAATTTTTTAAATATTTTATCCAGCATGTTCTCATTTGATACTACCAAGGATAAGTTTTTGTCGGTCTATTTAAGAATCATCCTGTATGAAGAGGCTTGTCCTGACTGACCTATCAACCCACAGCCTAAACCGCTGGAGACAGAAATTTCAAATTTTCACAGTAGAGACCTTTTATAACGTAGGCATCCAATAAGAAAGGATTTTTGGAAAATCAGCCCCTAAGGGGGTTAAATGGGGTGATGAATTCGAAGTTTTAAAGCTATAGCCATGAAAATTGGTATTTAGGCTTTCGGTTAAAAATAAAAAAATACGTATTTTACCATTTTTGGAAATTTTACCCCCAAGGGGGTTGAACAAGGGTAAAAGGTCGTAAAATATTTGTTTTTTTTTGAAGTTAAATTCATGAAAATTGGTATTTGGGCTCTCAGTTAAAAACAAAAACACGTGTTTTAGGATTTTGGAAAATTTGATCCCCAAAGGGGTCAAACAAGGGGTGAAAATTTGTATAAATATTTATAAATTCGTCATTTTTGAAGTTATATTTATGAAAATTTGGATTTGGGCTTTCAGTTAAAAATGAAGAAAACGTGTTTTAGGATTTTTGAAAATTCCACCCTCTAGGGGGTTAAACAAGGATGACAATTTGTATTAAAATATGTCATTCATAAAGTTAAATCCTTGAAAATTTGTATTTAGACTTTCGATTAAAAATCAAGTAATACGTGTTTCAGGATTTTTAGAAATTTCACCCTCAAGGGGGTTGAACAAGGGTAAAACTTCGTAAAATATTCGTGTTTTTTTTAAGTTAAATCTACGAAAATTGGTATTTGGGTGTTCAGTTAAAAACAAAATAGCACGTGTTTCAAGATTTTGGAGAATTCTATCCCTAAGGGGTCAAACAAGGGATGAAAATTTGTATAAATATTTATAAAGTCGTCATTTTTGAAGTTATATTTATGAAAATTGGGATTTGGGCTTTCGGTTAAAAATGAAGAAACACGTGTTTTAGGATTTTTGAAAATTCCACCCTCTAGGGGGTTAAACAGGGATGACAATTTGTATTAAAATATGTCATTTATAAAGTTAAATCCTTAAAATATCCGTTTTTTTTTAAGTTAAATCTATGAAAATTGGTGTTTGGGTGTTCAGTTAAAAACAAAATAGCACGTGTTTCAAGATTTTGGAGAATTCTATCTCTATGGGGGTCAAATAAGGGATGAAAGTTTGTATAAACATGTATTAAAAAAAATTAAATTTGTATCAAAATTTGTCATTGTTAAGTAATATCCATGAAATAAGACTTAAAATTTTACGGTTTTTAAATAAGTTATAAAAGACGGACTTTTTATTTTTACTACGAAGTTCATAATAAATTATGTGTTGCTATATTTTGTTAGTAAGTTTTTTAGCCCTTCTGCGTTTTGAAGTAGTTGTGGATGTCAAACTACCACGCGAGCGAAGCCGCGGGCAACAGCTAGTTTAAAATAAAAACGTGTACTTAGAGATTTTTGCTTTTTAAATAAAATAATAAGAAATTAAGAAACAACTTTTTAAAAATTTTGCTAAAGCAAAAGCCAATTTTTTTCTAAAATGAGTTTGCAAATAAATCACTCATGTTTTTCTAAAACTTTATACTTCACTTATACAGAGTGTTTATTGTACAACAATAAAAGATCGCATCACGACTGTTGAATGATGAATGAAGACGACCAACCTTTCGTCATGTTTGCGTGTACCACGAGCGTCCTTAGCAATTTCGCATCGTATGCAAAGCATGCCCCCGGCCCCAGTGCGCCCCTGCCGTCGCCACTCGGCCCCCTCTGCACCAGGAGCGGTCTAGTTATCCGCTAACCGTCTATGATAGCGCATAATAGAACCTGTCCGACCCACACAACAACCAAGTGGAAGAGGCCGAAGAGCTCTGAAGTGAAAGTGTCGGCCTCTACTTCGCCGAGGTCCGTCCGAGATGCACAGCTGAGTGCGACACGGCGCCACACTTCAAATCGCCACCACTTCCAAACCACACGCGACACTCGCGCCGTAAGCGCAAGGGGTGTTTTTTAGCGTCGGCAGCGTCGCGACGTCCGCGTAAAGTGTCTTTACGACGATTGGTTCGCGCGCTATTTGTGTAAGAAAGTGCATGTGCAAAGGTGATGCAAGGATTGGGACATTATTCACGTGCCAGGGATTGGTGCTTAATGCCGGGACGACGATAGGGCGGAAAACAGCACTTTTTCGCATGTGAGTTGGTTTTTTTTCGGAGGTGGTTTTGTGTAGGATTAGGTGGAGACGTAAGAGCTATCCTTGGAATTTTTAAACGAGTTGCCAAGTGCGGGTTTGATCCTGAAACGGCGAATTACAATTCGATTTTTTTTTTGGTTATTTAACGGTTAAATTTGAGTAAATGTTTGTTCAGCTAATTTGAGTTTCAAAAATTCTATTGATTTTGCTTTTTTTGGTGCAGCGCTCATTTAACTATTTCTAGACACGAAATTACAAATAAATTACTTAAATTGCTTGTTCCATATTGTATCATGCAAATGTCAAAATCAAGAAAATTTTCTTTTATGGATTTAAATCTATTTTAAATCTTAAATCATTTTTTTCTCTTAAGGTTGGTATTAATTATTTTCAAAATTTCTTTTTTGTAATGGAAGAAGTCTTTTTATTAAATTATGTTTGTTTAATAAAAATTAGAATTTACTTGTATTTTTTTGGCTTTTGGCTTTCTTATAAATTTTATTGGACACTTTGATCTTTTCTTTGTATTTATTTTATTAAATAATGTGCCTATATAATACATACAATAACGCACAGATTTTGGATATGGAGATATCGTGATAACAATCTAAAAATAAAAGATAACATTTTCAGTAGCACAATGTGAAAATTCTATCGCAATATTTCAAATCTTTGGACATTTTTTCGATTTTCTACACTTTTAAAAAGATATACGGGGTGGACAATAACTATGGAAATATTGAGAAAATAACAATTGTGATCGTGTTTTGAGAATGAAATTTTGTTTTTGAGAAAATGCCAACTTATGAAAAGAAAATTAGATAAAAATTGACTAAAATGTAGATATACTCCGTAGTCTAATATGTGTAACTCTTTAACTCAGATTATTATGCCTACTTTTCTTAGTCTTTTTCCTTTTTTTTGTATGCATTTTTTTTCAACAAAAACCCGTATTTCAACTAAAACATCAAAAACAACGTTGAAATTGACTTTTTTACCCCCTTGCCCAAAAACATCAATTTTTTGGGAAAATGAGTCGATTTTCAAGTTTTGGTCATTGAAGTTTGTCGAGTTTGAAAAATAGCCCATTGAGGTCTGTTAAAAAACACAAAAAATTGAGAAAATGGCTTGTTTGTAAGCCCATTTAATCTATTAAAACATCATTTTTTATAGAAAATACCTCATTTCTTATAGCCTTCTTAAAAATGTAAGCCGGATTTTTATGCTAAAAATAAATAAAACTATCTTGCTTTTTAAAGCATATTAAAAAGCCTTCGGAATCACTCTGTTTTTATATTGGGCCACTTCAGCACACATATGAATACGAATTCGGCCAATGTCCTCATGGGCAAAGCGAATTCACATCCGTTTTTACAGGGTGCGCCAGAACTCGCGCCCCAGAGAAAAATGTCAAGTAAGATAAGATACTTACCAGAAACATGGAAAAAATGTTTAAAAAATTTTATCATCACAGATTCACTTGTTACATTTTTTAAGAAATCATGAAAAAAAGGGTAGTTCCCATAAAAAAATTGATGTTTCAATAGATAAAATGGGCTTAAAAACAGCTTATTTTCGCAATTTTTTGTTTTTGAAACACGACAAACTTCAATGACTAAAACTTGCAAATCGACTCATTTTCCCAAAGAATTGATGTTTTTGGGAAAATCTGAGTTAGAAGTTAGGTGTTAAAAATAAGGCTAAAAAGTCAAATTCAACGTTGTTTTTGATGTTTTAGTTGAAATACGGATTTTTGTTGAAAAAAAATGCATAGAAAATAGGAAAATGACTAGGAAATCTATGCATAATAGTCTGAGTTAAAGTTACACATATTAGACTCGTTTTCATATTAATGTGCATCAGTTTAGGTGGCGACTATGCAAAAACTCAAACAATCCTAACCTCAGTCTTCGTTAAAAATATTTTTTTCAAATAAATAATTAAAATTAACAACGTAATTAACATTGGATATTAAACATAAAGATTTTTGTCATTATTGATGTGATTAAATTATTCTGAATGACATTAATGACACTTTTTGTGTAAATCGGCCTTTAAATTAAAGATTCATTTAGACTTCTACAATCTACTTGATGCACATTATAATGAAAAGGAGTGTAGTTGTAATTTTTAGATCATAGTCTTTGCAATTGTTTTATTGTGGGTTGTCATTTGAGCATATAAAAAATTTCTCAGAACTCAAATTCAAAAGAAGCTTGAAAAATTTCATTCTTCATCAATCAGTTTTTTCAAAAAATCAATAGTTTCAGCAAAAAATGTTTGGTATCATACTTTTTGTTCACCTTGTATTTTGTGTAACGCTTGGTGATTTTCCAAAGCAAGACTTTAAAGGGTGGGTTTACAGAAAGTAAATTAAATCAAGATTAAATTAATCGCAATTAACTTTAAAATTCTAAAATTTGAAATCATCAAAATTCAACCAATCACGTAACGAATTAAATTTAAGTGCAATCAAATATTTATTTCGGTTTATATAACCCCACCCTTAGTTTAATTCTTTAATTGTTATTTTTTTCACTGGGGCAAAAATTTTTCTTTTTCTAACTTGACATAAATATTTTTTTGTGTGTCGTATTTTTGAACAGTCACGAATTTTCACTTGATACGAGTAAATATTTTGGTAGAGCCTACCCACCTAATTGATAAAGTGGGCGTTTAATGGAGAAATAACAGTAACAGTTAATTAGAGGAGAAATAATTTTATAAAGTTAAACACAATTTTTGCCTTAATGTTTAAAGCATAATGTAGGAGTATTAAAAAACAATACTTTCACACGCAAATGATCTACAACATGAAAAAAAGATAAAACTCTTAAGGCCGGTTTACAAATTCAAAATGTAATTGAGAATTAATTTAATCAGGATCAAATGATTAGTTATTTCACATTGCCAAATATTTAATTAATTACCACATTAAAAATTTGGTAGGTAGTAATTAAATTTTCTTAATTAATTTTTCCCGAAAAACTCATAACTAATCCACATCTGTTAAATGAATGTTGAAAAAAATTCGTGGACAAAATTACAACATTCAGAGTCTTGTAATTTGCAATAGTTAATACTAACTAATTATATACTGGGTGTCGCAAAAAAGACAAAGAACACTTTGTATTTTTTTTGATGTCACAAATATTAATCTCTGAAAGAGGAGGCTTATCCAATGCGGGTATATGTGGAGGCGCTTTAACAAAATAACTGTTAATTTATTTTTATATACAATTTAAATGAAAAAGCTTGTCAAGTTTGGCATATAATTTGTCAAATTTTTAGAACCGCAATTTTAAAGTAAACATTATTATTTATTTCTCAGAGATTTAGCAACGTGTGGGACAAAATCCATTATAATGATGGTCATCCAAGTTTATAATTTTGCATTTTTTAGTCATTTTATTAGGTCAAAAAATAGTAAACTAAAACGTTACATTATTTTGAACCGTGTTTGCTTGTGTTGATCAATATGTTATAGTAAAAAAACTCTAACTTTTCCAAACATGAGAGTTTTATTTTTTCCATATTTTTTTTATAAGAAAAGTGACAAAAGAAGTCTATTTTTGAGCTTATATTTTAGATTTTAGTTACGAACACAGAAAAACGTTATTTTTTTAATTAAAACAAGCTATTAAATAATTTTAATGCACGAGGATGACAGTCCGAGTCTAAAATTATACCATTAACAACCTTTTCATATCTGATTTAATCAACAAGTGAATAAAGTGAACATTAACTTTGTCTTTTTATTTTGCAGTGCATTATGGTCTTCCCGTTACACAAAATTTGTCATTTCCTAATTGGTTAGTTATTACGCAAACAACTAATATTTCATGTAGATTTAAAGACTTGTTTTCCCACTGAGTAATACCTACCGTACCTTCAATCAAATTCCTGATCAAAGTGATCTATGAATCTGAAATTAGGTTATAAAGTAGTGAGAAAAGTAAAGACAATGTTGCCAATTATTTTAGTCCCAGAATCATAGGCTACTTAAAAAAAAATTTGAAGAAAGTAAAGAAAATGTTAATTCTACTATTGTTTAAACAAACAACTCAACTCTTGCGACATACGACCATCAGATGCAAATTTCCAGTTTGATTTGAATGTGTTATTTTTTCCATACTTTGCAAAGTGTAGTCACACTTGCCCTCCAATTCCAATATTTTTTATTGTAATTATATCTCCTGTTGACGTAATCCAAATAGACAAAGGTTTTTTTAAATATCCTTGAAAATATTAGGCAAGCATAATAATTCATCAAATAATTTTACAATGTTTTTTATAAAATATTGGCACGCGTTGTTTGAATGTAAATGAGTTAAGATATTTACGTCTTAGTGGATCATGACATAACCCAGAATTGTGCTTAGTTTGCCACCCATCTCAGATTCCATGAATGAAAAATTACCATGACATGCCAACTACCAAAAATCAATCATCACTTTGTTACTTTCATATTCATCACAATTACCACACATTAACATCTTGTTGAAATAAACACCACGATGTTTTTCTCAACGAAATATGTCAATATTTTATTTATATTTACAGTTGTATTATATTTGATGTTTGCGCGGAAAAAAAGATTTATTGTTTGATTGTTTGCTAATAATTTTCTGCTTTATTAGTGTGCATTGTACGGGGCATGTCCACAAATAAAAAAACCGAGGAACAATTTGATTTATTCTGGGTGGGCACAAATCTTGTCATTTTCTAGCGGAAGTGCACATTAGCCGTTAGGCATTTCTTCGACTTTCTGTTCAAGAATACTGATTAGTATTGCGGTAGTAGATAATATTAAACACAGATATTAAGTCATGCCTCACGGTGCATACGTGGGCGGGCATAATTAACTCAGGTGGAAAACCAGGCGAGTATACCAGGTGCACCCCCAAAACACTTTTTTCTGATTCAGAAAGAATTGAAAAATTAGAAAAAAGGGTCTTCCATTTGAAAAAAAAAACACCAAACACTTGAGGGGTAAAGTG